CCAGGGTATAGTTTTTTTTTTTAAATTATGCCTAACTCCTTCCTGCCTCTGGACTTTTATGTATTCCTGTTCTCCGTCTGGAAAGCTATTTCTACCCCCAATAAAACTAACTCTAAGCATCACTTTTTCAGGAAGCCTTACCCTAACCTCCTTAATAGGTTATATTTCCCTGATAAACACTCTCATAGCACCTTGTACTCTTTCTTTATAGCACTTATTACAATATATAGGTTTACTTGTTTATGTCTGTCTTTCCAACTACACCATGTCAGGAGGAGAGGAACTACATCGGTCTTATTCACCACTATATCTCTAAAGATGTAATAGGTGCTCAATAAATATTTGTTGAATTAATGAATGAATTAATGAATTTGTTCATGGTCAAAAGTTAGGAAGTAAAGGAATCTGGATGTAAACAAGGTTGGTCTGACTCCAGGACCTGAAGAGCATGTTATCTGCACGTCTTTTGCTCCATTGCCAACAATAAAGACTAGGGCCAACTCCATACTTTGTCTGGAAATTGGAGGAGTGGAGATTATTGAGGGTCAAGGAGACTGTTGGGTATCTCTGCAATTGCCACCAAAGCCCTATTGTGCAGACCTATTAGAAAGGCCTTCCATTTTCAGTTGAGAATAGAGGGAGCTCTTAGTAGAGGAATGACAAACTCAATTATGTTCTGATAAGCAAGGGAGTTAGATGACTGACAGTGAACAGGTCTTTTCCAGAGAGGCTTTTTCCTTTCTGGTCCCTTTCTCCCTAACCTCTCACATTCCTCAACAGATCCCTTTTTGTGAAGTTCTGGGGAAAGGCAATATAGCTCCAACTACTCCAGAGAGAAGGAAAAGGAGTCCCAAGGGTCAGGCTTTTCATGAGGAGGAAAGCTAGGCTTGCACGCTTGCACTCCAGTTAACTTGGACCAAGCCTGTGTGATCTGTGGCCCAACTAGAGCCCAGAGACTGATGGATTTTTGACTATTCAGCCAGGGATTCGGTGGCTGAGCACTGCAGTGACTTGAAGGTAAGACAAACTCAGGTTCTTTTATTATTTCAAACCTTTGATTAAATTCCCTTTGGGAAGGAATCTGCTTTGATGGCTTGATATGCTCCTTGTGTCTGGGCCTGGTGGGTTCAGTCTCTGGTTGTTTTTTGAACATGAGCAACATTTGGCTGTGGCAGCAGAAGTGAAAAGAGGTGTGCATAGGGAGGGGGAGGAAAGTCTTGTTGCTATCAGGTCTGCTGTTGGAGTTGAGTTTTGTTCAGAACCACTGAGCAGTGAAGTCACCCCAACTCTTCCCTCCCCTTACTCCCACCTCCCTGCTGCCAAACATGAAGCTATGTCTTAGAGGAAAGGAGTCAAAGGTTTCACATATAAAATCTACATCTTTGAAAAAAAAACCCAAAGCTAAAGACGCTGTCAAGTTTTCCACATAGGATCACAGTGGCCACCAGTTCTTATACCAGTGCTCTGAGGCCATGGAAACTCCTAAGGTAGTTGTTCCTAGCATTTGGGTGGACACTTAGAGAACCAATGAAAGGACAAATGTGCATACACATAAAATTTACATACAATTTTGGGAGTTCAGGCCCAGGGTGATTCCATGGACCTTAAGGACCTCATGAACCCCAAGTTTGGAACCTCTGGTCTACAATGTTTTCCTTGGCATAGAATAGCAGTTGGGTAGCACTCTTAGTCTTATATATTCTTTCTTGGAACACTATTGGTGCTCAGGAAATATTTGGGGATCCTACGGAGTAAACAGTAAACTAATGCAACATTCTGCCATTTTTATGTGGTATTTACTCTGCCCCCTCTTGATGCAATATCCTTGTCAAGAAGATGTCTAGCCTCTGTGTAAATATATCTAGTGACAGGGAATTCAATATCTTTCCCTAATGACATTCTAGTTTGTCATTGTGTCTATTAAGAATACTCAGAATTTAACATAACACTTCAGATGATTCAGTTATATAATGCATTCACTCTCTTTAGCCCAGTATTTGTATCATGTGCATATTTGCTAATGGTGTCTATGTCTTTGTCCATTCATTCACTTACCCATTCATTCTTTCAATCAACCATTCATTTATTCAACAAACATTTCTTAAGTGTTTGTTTTGTTTCAGGAACACTCTAAACACTGGGAGGGGATGCATAGATGAATAAGAAATTGTCTCTGTGTATGTTTTCACCCAAAACTGGAGGTCCAGAGCTTACTGCTCTAAAATTCCCTTTACATTGACACAAAATCCATTACTTTAGCACTTTGGGGATATGGTATCAATCAGCTATCGATTGATCTAGTAGTACTAGGTCATGTATCTTACATTTCCATTCCTAGAATTTGTCTTCCCTTCTTTTTGAAATGAAAATAGCTGCCTATTGACATTTTCTGGTCATGTGCTTCCTTCGTTGCTATTCCTATAGTTCAATACCAAAGAGTGCCTCTCCAGGTGCTAATGAACTCCTCCCTCCTCCCTGGACCCTACACCATTCCTCTAGTCCTTTCCCTTTACTTCCACCCAGAGGAAAAAGGTATCACCTGGCCTTAGGATTGGGAGTCTTTCCCTTTTTCAGTACAGTGCAGTTTTCCTTATAAATCTTGCCCTGTAGTATGGTGCTTGTGTCCTTGTCAGGCCTATGTCAAGTGTCTCACTAGAGTAACACTGGCCCTACTCACAGGTAAGTGACAACTTCCTATTAGTTAAAACAGATCTCATTTATCTCACAAGGCCTCAGAAGTTGTGGCTTCAAGTACAGCATAGGGAATATAGTAAATAATACTGTAATAACCATGTATGAGGCCAGGTGGGTATTAGACTTATTGGGGGGATCACTTTATAAGTTATATAAATGTCTAATCAATGGATTGTAAATCTGAAACTAATATAATATTGTACACCAATTGTAATTAAAAAAGAAACAAAAAAAAAGTTGTAGCTGTGTATCAAAAGTTCTAGGTAGCTGACCACAGATAATGTAGGTAAAATTTTGGTTTTAAAATCAAGTGTGATGTGCATTAAAAATGTGATTAAGAATATCACACAGCTGATTTTTATCTTTTTCTCAGAGACCTCTAGAGGTAATGTCTCTTCCCTGTAATCTAACATGAACATTGCCATCAGCCTCCTTGCCTCTCCAAATCCTGTTGGTTCTTCATGGCAGTCATTACTCCTTTCAGGAAACTTTCCCTACATATCTTAGCCCTCTGAGATCTTGGCCTTGGTGATTCGATTGGTGAACATTCTATGATCACACACAGTATGCAACTTAGCATTTTTTAATCTACAGTCTTATTTGCTATCTCATGTGTATATTCTCATATGTGTGGTTGGTTTTCCTGTTGGGTACTTAGGTCTGGATGAGCTTTTATAGACTTTTTGGTTTTGATTTTTAAAAAATATATTTTTATTGATTTCAGAGAGAGGAAGGGAGAGGGAGAGAGAGAGATAGAAACATCAATAATGAGAGGGTTGTCACTGATTGGCTGCCTTCTGCAAGCCCCACACCAGGGATCGAGCCCACAACCCGGGCATGTGCCCTGACCAGGAATCGAACCCTGACCTCCTGGATCCTAGGTCAATGCTCAACTGCTGAGCCATGCCTGGCTGGGCTTGGTTCTGATTTTTAAGTGAGCTGCTTCCTAAGCTATTTGTTTCAGATGTACAATCAGTTGGAAAAATAGCAGATGCTTATATGATGTGATTGAGGAACTACAGGAGGAACTATCTTAAACCCCAAACCTTTTCCCACCAGCCCTTCATGGTGCTTGAGTATGCTATGAGACTTTGATTTCTTTGGTTCTTTCCTGACATTCACTTTGAAAAATGCAAATAACCATATGCTCCTACCTCAGTAAATATCAGGAAAGAGGCCAGGGATTTTAAACCAAGATATTTTAGGGGCTGCTCTGGAGGAGAGGGAGCTCCAGAAATGTCACCCGCCCTTCAATTAGAGCCACTCTACTTTTGTTTTATGGACCAAAATTATCCACAAACTTTATTTATAAGCCATTCAGCTACACAAATAATTATTTTTGAAAACTATTCCTTTATGGCACTAGGTTTCAAACTTTATTGTATATAGGAATCCTTTGGGAGGCTTGTTAAAACACAAATTGCTGACCCCCACACCCTCAGACTTTCCAATTTGGCAGGTCTAGGGTAGGGCCTGATAATTTGCATTTCTAACAAGTTCCCAGATGCTGCTGCTGGTCAAGAGACCATATACTCTGAGAACTACTGCTTTAGGGAAATGCATTAACGGCTTCCCAGAATTCTCTAGTAAAAGCAAGTAAGAAGCCACCAGCAGGCTCTGCCTCTTGAGAACACACCTTCATCTTTCCCTTCCCCACCTTTACCTTTGCCTTTCTCTTTCCTAAGCTCCAAAGGCTCTTCTTTTGCTTCTGTAACTTGTATCCTGAGCCTATGCAGCCCAGCTGGCTCACTTCTACTACCTCTCTAACTTTATAAATAAACTTCTCTTATAAAAATAAATAAATAAAGTAAGAAGCCACCAATTAGGGTTTCTGACCTTCATGCTTTGGGCCCTAACCAAATCCTAAAGGAGGATTTTCCTACGCCTATGTCCTAAGCACAAATGGGAGCTCCCGTAAGAGCTGTTGATCCAGGCCTTCCTGAAGCTTTGGTTCACCACTAAGTTTAATGTCATAGAATCAGAAAGGGCTTCAGATAGGGCCCCTAGATAATGCTAATATTGTGAATAATGGGTCATCGAGCTTAGGCAGTGTGATGCTAACATCAGGAGATTCTAAGGAGTTGGAGAGAAAGAAGCTAACTCATCCTACCAAATGTACAAATCAATAGAATTAGACAGTGGTTACAATATAAAGACAATTTTATTGCCAATAAAGCCTTTAATAACTAATTTATCCCATTTCAGTAGGACCTTATTCTTTCTGATGAAAATCCAGTCATAGCATCTCTCATTAAAAATAAAATTATTTTGAAATAAATAAATATATAAAATAAATAGCATATACATTTCATAAATAGTTTGTCTTTATGCACAGTATCCATGCTTACATTTTAATACCATTTTCTTACAACCTACCCCATCTCCCACTTCCAATGCCAGGAAAACTGCATGTCAGAACAGATGAGAAATCTGCAGAGCCAATGCAGGGATGGCTTGCAGCAGGGCTGTAGCCCTGAGGATTTTCTGAATGAGAGTTTTCCAGAGCTCTGTAGGTAGCATCTATGGCAGATTTTTTGGTCTTTCATTTACCCATTGTCAAGGTATTTGGGCAGATTGTGGGGCAAGACACCCTTGGCCTTTGGCAGGGGCCCCCATTCTTTTTTGTACCACCTCAGGGAAAAGAACATGAGTAAAGAAAAAAGTATATACAAGATTCCCTCTAGCCACCCCTCCCCCCACATCCCTCCCCAAAATAACCCAACCTTGATATACACTTTGAACAAGGGAACAGCTGGGTTGAGTTGAACAGTAAGTGCTTCTCTGCTATCTAAATTGATAGGAAAGAGGATTGAAAAGCTACGAGTATAGTACTTGCAGAGACAATTGTGGCCCCAGAGTATATGGGTTACAAAGGTCACACTAGGGTCTGTTACCTATAGTGGAAGAGGTCTCTGGACATGGAGGGCAACTTAGAAGGATCTACAGGCCTGGGTAAAAAGTGGGTGAATTTCTGGTGTCGTTTAGTCCTGTATCCCTCCCGGGGTGAGCCGTCTTTATTCAGGGCCACATAATACTGTCTCTCCGAGTCCAAGTGTTTGTACAAGGTGGAGGCATAGGTGTTGTACCAGTTTTCTTCAAACTGTTCCCGGAAAACACATTCACGCGTGAGTTTCTTCTGTGAGGGTGAGAAAATAAAGCAGAGCCCATTATATGACTATTTCTCCCATCCCAGCTTGTTGGTGGAGAACCCTGAAATAGCAATAGCACATTGATATTAGAAAAGTTCAGTCCTATCTACCGGTATTACTGAGGTATCTTCTTTCCAAATAGCACAAAACAGTCCTATCTATATCACTTTCATCCTCTTTCATGAGCCACACAAAAATGTTTTAGGTGATATCTTTCCTGAAGGCAGGAGACTGGAGGAGATAGCCTCACTTGGCTCTTTGAGCCTGAGATTTTTCTTTTTAAAAATTATTTCAATTGAATTTATTGGGGTGACACTGGTTAATAAAATATATAGGTTTTAGGTGTGCAATTCTACAATAGAGCCTGAGATTTTTCTGAGCCCGAGAACTTCTGTTATGGCTGCCCAATGCCCCACTGGCATACCTCAGTTTTTCTCTACTTAGGGCTAATGATGTTCAAATCCATTGAGATTACAGTCAACCACGTTAACTGATAGGCAAAGGCCTTGGATCTATATTAAGTTCCACGGGAGGTGAGCTGTGATCTCTCCTGATGAAGGGTTTAAGGCCTGTCAGTTGGAAAGCTTACAAAAGATCTCCTTGAAAAGTTCCTCCAATCTGGCTACTTCAAGCTAGCAGCTCCTGGGTCTCTTGCCTCTGTCGCTTTTCACACTTGATCCAACCGCCATAGTACTTGCTAGGGTTGCCGATACTGAGTGCTAGGGACAGGCCTATCACTTAGGTGTCAGGGAAAAATGTGCTCTGATTTCAAGGGGTGTAGGCAGCCAGAAAGCATGCTATGTGATTCAAAAGCCATAGCCACGAGTTGGGATCGTCTGAAAGGGTTAAGATCAGCAAAGCCACTCACCATTCCCCAGCTCTTGGCTAGCTTCCAGAATAGAGAACATGCACTGCAGTCAACCCAGTCCTAGCTAGAGACTTAGGGCTGTCACCAGACCCAGGAACCCTCACTCTTCATTTATTTGTTTCATTGGCCTTTGGGATTCAGCGGAAACAATCTGGAAATCAGGGACTGTGTTGTTAACCTCAGAATCCTCAATCAGAAGGCCAGATTTTCCACTATATTTTAAAAATATATTTTTATTGATTATAGACAGAGGAAAGGAGAGGGAGAGATAGAAACATCAATAATGAGAGAGTCATTGATCGGCTGCCTCCTGCATGCCCCGCACTGGGGATCAAGCCTGCAACTCAGGCATGTGCCCTGACCGGGAATTGAATCGTGATCTCCTGGTTCATGGGTTGACCCTCAACCACTGAGCCACACTGGTTGGGCTGCACTGCCTATTTTTGTGCCAGCTAATCTGCTACTCCTTTGGGTACCCATTAAAATTCAGATGTGCTCCTCAGGAGGGTGAATGCCTCAAACCCTACCATCTACTAACAAACCAGCACAGCTTACTATTATCATCAGAATAGCTGGCCTGCTAATGGAAAATCCGAAAGCAAGTATGCCACAGTAAAGTTTATGTTTTCATGGGGGCTGAATGAGTGAGTTATGTAGCAAGTTCCTGGGCAGCCACACATGACTAGAAAACAATCTTTTATAGCTGACAAAAGTGCTTTCAAGTGCTAGATAAAAGTCTTTATAGTTTTGCCTTACATTGTCCAAATACTGGTGGTAATAGCCTCTGATGAAAAGAAAACCTTAAACTTACCGATCCATATAGCTCTCCTCGCTCATTCATTCCTAAGTATAGGCCAGAGTCCACTCCTCGAATGCTGATCAGCCCCACAGCCAGGCTGATAAACTCCAGGATGCCTACAGCAAAAAAAGTGAATGCCATTTCCATTACTAACATTAACCTAAGAGGAAGCTGTTTGGGTAACATGAGCTACCAGTCATTTATGCACAACTGGAGGCCACCCCTGGGTGCCTTTCCTGAATGACCTGATAAAACCGTCTTTTGCAGCATGAATGGAACCAAAGAGAAGACACTGAGTCTCTCTGGACCTCAGTTTTCCATATGTAAAATGGGGGAAACAATCTCTGCTTCTAGTTAACAGTCTTAGGCATATTATGAGGAAGAGACAGTGAGAAGGCTTTGGCTACAAAAGCTCCCAATTACAAGGTACTATTACTGTTAAGTACCACCATTTCAAGAAATGGAAGGGCAGCTTCCTAAACAGGAGAATATGGCCAGGTTTCTGCATCTTCCCAAAGTCATGTCCCTCCTCCCTAGAGCACAGAGCATTACCTCACTGAACTTGTTTTGCACCCTCTTAGCTCCCATGTACTTAAAGCCACATGAGGCTGTCAGCTGTCTGTAGCTGACTCTAACAAAGGCCACACAGGCCACTCAATAAGTTTGTTTCTCCTGCCATAGGCAGGACGCAGAACTTGGTCTAGTAAGAGTTTTCTCCTGAAAAGTGCTCTCAGCCAGTGTAGCCCCAGAATGACAAGCCTGTCATTCTCCCCTTCTCTCTTGAGAATTTTAAGTTTATTCATGGCCAAGAGTTGGCAGATAGTATTGGACTTGATACTGATTTGAGATGTTGCAAATTTAAGGGGAAAGGGAAGACATTCAGAAATGTCCCTCTAGCTGACAAGGATAGATGTGAAGATTTGAAAACATTTTCATTTACTGAGCAGCAATAAGAGGAAAAAAGAAATCAACCACTAAGAGGGAAAAAGGACCAAGAACTGAAATGCTGGTGACATTGAACACTTTATACTTTCATTCTACAATAGCACATCTATGATATAGATGCAGATATAATGGGCAGCCAAATTCTTCTGTGATATTCCTGTCTCTAACCATGCTTTTCAATGTAGAGACCAAAACTTGATACAACTGACTCACAGAGGCATCCAAAGGTATGAAATGAGCTCATACCTGGCTGTCTTTCTTATCCAAAAATACAGTTCTTAAGGGTAATAATATTCTATGTAATCGACATAGACAGTGAGACTGATTATTTAAAGATCATTTAAAAATGTAAGTGGTTAATTTTGAAATTATGTTCAAAACTCCAATAGGAAGTCTGAAGAGCCCCAATGACTTGGGCTGGTGGGTGGGTGTTCAAGTATGGCAGCTTTAGGGCACATGTTTCCATCGCCCATTTGAAGAATGTAAAGTTCTTTGGCTGCTATTATATAAAAATTCTCCAAGTTTTATTCTCAGTCTGGTTGTTACTCTTATAGTACAAAGAAAGGAGTTTTGGGAAAAGAGATTGAAACAAGATGGTAGGAGGGGAAGGGAAAATACCTGGTGCCAAGTAACAGTTAAGCAGATACTGATTTTATGGACTAAAACTTTTAGTTGTACTGTACAACATTCTGATTTTGGTTCTGCCCTGTTTAACATTTTAATAAATGACTGTAAGAGGACATAGAGAGACTGCTTATCTTAGTTCCAGAAGACATACAGCTAAGAGGGTGACACAAACAAAATCCAAACAGATTTCAAGAGAATGGAAAAATAGGCTGACTCCAACGAAATAAGCTTTAATTAGAATAATATGTAAAGTCCTACGCTTTGGTTCCCAAACCAATTACCTGAGATGTTTTGCATTTGGGGTTTTGTTGGGGGAGGGTGAGCCTCAAGTGCAGATAGTTGAGTAAATCACACTCCTTTTTTGGGGGCCTATTATCATAATTGGTCTGTGCAAGGGCATTTTAGTTATCTATTTCTCTTTATTTCCATACTCTGTTCCCATCCTCCTCCATCCCAATTTTAGGCAACCATGTATTTTTTCTTGAAAACATGTACTGTTCTTGTGTTTTCATGTATTTTTACCAAATGCAAGACTGCCCATCTTTGGAATGGGGAGATGTGGCTTAGCAAAATATACACAGCAATGACTTAGGGGATTTGATTGAATAAGGTAAGCTTGGTACAGGTGATTCATGAGATTATTAAAAAGCTAATGTGCCCAGCCAGCGTGGCTCAATGTTTGAGCATCGACCTATGAACCAGGAGGTCACAGTTCTATTTCCGGTCAGGGTATATGCCCTCGTTGTGGGCTAGGTCCCCAGTAAGGGGCGTGCAGGAGGCAGCCGATCAATAACTCTCTCATCATTGATGTTTCTCCATCTCCCTTCCTCTCTCTGAAATCAATTTTTTAAAAAAGCTAATGTAAAACTAGTCATGTAAAAATTAAAAATGATTAAAAAGCTAGTGTAAAACATAGGAAAAAAAGAGGGGAAAAGCTAGCATTATTTAAGGCTGCACTGATAGAGGTCTAGTAACTGGCTTAAGGGAGAGCACTGCCCCACTCTGCTCTGCCTTAGTTAGGTCACACTGAGAGGGCTATGTTTTGGTTCTACTGTATTTAAAGAGGGCTACAAAAAACAGGAGTGTATTCAAAGAGCAATAGCCAGTGTGGCAAGGAAATGAGAAACCAGGTCATGATTCAGTTCTGGGTGCTAAACTTTGAGGGATACCAACGTGTTGGAGCCTTCAGTTCTTTGCTTTGCTTAGGCAGATTATTTCTGAGCTTCAAGTCTTAGTTCCCTCATTCTCTAAGTATCTCATGTCTCTAACCACCCTGAGCTCATTAAGTAGCAGAGGTCAGCTTGTGATCTCACCATCCAAGACCTGGTGTGAGAACAAATCGTGAAACCCAAGAGGTGTGGCCATTTGAGTCACCACAGTTTTTCTCCAATTCTCTGTTAACATGATGCCAAAGGACAGATCATACAGGAAGTCACTTGGGTTGTGTCCAGTAATAGGGGTCTCCAACAGCTGGAATCATCCCTGCCCAGCTGTCTTTGGGCATCATTTCCCTCTGCCAACTTTCCTATTAGCTGGATTTTAACTGTGGGAACCCAATGGCACATGATGATGGAACAGATATTCCTAAACCTTCTCTGAATCCCAGCCAGCATGAAGGGAGAGAGAAAACAAGCCATTTTCACATTTTCCCAGCTACAGCTGGAGAGGGGTGTTAACAGCAAAGTGTTGTGGCAAAGTATTAAGTAGACAGTTTGTCCTCAGTACTCACCCCCTTCAAAGCCCAAGACCTCCCTCTGCTCTGCCTCATCTTGACCTGTCCACCTCAGCTCTGGCCTTTGCTTGACAATTTCTGGGCTCTCCTCCTTTTACACTTTTCCCCCCATGGCCTCAGTCAAAATGGATCTGTCCTGGGTCCCACTGCTTCAGAACCTAGCTAGATGATTGACTAATTTGTCATTTAATCTGGTTCCATAACTTGCCTGAGCTCCCTCAGCCAGCCATCCTTTCAGACCTTCATGGCCAAGACAGTGCTGCCTTGGCATCCTGCCAAATAAGAACCAGATCGCTCAAAACCCAAAGCAGCTGCAGGAGCCTGTTCCATCCCACCTGGCGGGCAGCCTCTCCTCCAGTCTGGCTCCCAAGTCCTACTATGCCAGTCCACAGGTGTCCCTCAAGAATGTCAGTATCCCTGTGAACCTCATGTAAATGCTACTAGCCAGGCAGAGGTTGTAATACTCCTGGCTACTGATTGCAGAATGGGGGGTGGGGAGGGGGGAGGATAGGTTGTGCCAACAGGTTATTATTTGGAGTCGGGGCTGCTCTTGGGCTCAGCCTGACTCATTCTGAACACATGGATTCCAGGGTAATCCTTGGGGGCCCTGCTCTCCAATTACAACAAATAGCTATTTACTTTACATGGCCTTTGGAGACTACCTCCTCCCCCCAAGCAGAAATCTATAATATTTTATATCTTAAGTCTGGCCTACTTTACCCTGCTGGAATGTTGACTGCTAAAACACTTATGGAATGTGAAAGTTTCGATTTATTGAATACCCTGGCTGATTAACTCAACTGTGGAGGGAGGAGTTAGCAAACTCAAACGCCACCTCTTTCTTTGCCAAAAGCTAAACTGAGAAAGAGTACATGTGTTTGAAAGTTGGCAGGGGAGGTTACAAAGAGACAGCTTTGAGCAGTTATCATTTCCTTTACAGGAAATACACAAAACTGCCAGGAAGCCAGGGAAGGAGGAAAGGGAAAAGGTGATGCAGAGGTGGTCTCAGGCAGTGTTTTTTAAAGACAAAACCAAAAAAGAAGCAGTCAGTTAAGCAGCAGTGAAAACATCCCTTCTTCCTGCCAGTTTTATTTCCTTTGGTTTCTCCTTAAACTTAACACCCTTAGCATGCCTAAGAGATGAAAAGAAATCAAGATGTGTCCTTAGGGAGGTAATTAAAGACCACTTATCCCAAGAGCCCATTACTGATTTATGTTGACCTTGTAGGTTATTGGGCTCAGCTTAGGCACAAAGTCAGACAAACACTTGTAGCTGCTGGGAGCCAAGTTCATAGTTTCTCCACCTCTGCTGCCCCCAACCAACATTTCTTCATCATTTCATGATTTTTCTTTTATATCTCAGGAATGAGTTACTCCAATATTTTAGGCCATTTTGAGAGCCTTTCGGGGCTCTGAGGCCAGGGTGGGAGTCCCATTACTTCTGAAGAGAAACAAAAGGGGACTGCAAAGTCATAAGCGATAGAAGGAAAAGAAGCCAAGTTAACACTCCTTCTCCCTTCACCCCACCTTATCACCCATTTGAGGACGTGCTGCAAGTTTATACAGACACCTGCACCCCTCCATTACCCCCACCCCACACAACCTACTGCACTCCAGCTCTGTGAGTGCATTTTTCCAAGATGACATAGACCTCATTAGGGTTCCTGCTTGCTCCCAGCAAGGAAGACCAGCCCTGGCCCTAAGTTGTTTGCTTGACTTGGCCTCTGTGCACCCCCTCCCCACTTTTTACTGTGCACTCCAGCTGGAGCTCTAGCAAGGAATGGGGAATAGGAGGATGGGGAGGTTTGGGGGAAGTGAAGGAGGGTGAGAAAAAGAAGGGAACTTATTATGCCTGAAGGTAGTCAAAACTTATGAGCTTAAGGATAGAAGGTTTCCTTGGGCCATAGGGTCCTTGGGAGGAAGTAGGGGCACTGGGAGATAGAGGGCCCAAGGAAGGGTAGCTGTCACAGCACCTGAAAAATGGTTTAGTGGAGAATAGGAAATTGAACATAAACATGGCCAAATTACTGAGCAGTGAACACATTTGCTTAGAAACCTAATGATCTCTGTCTCAGATCAAGGCTTATATTGTTTTCTGTATGTCGGATAGGCAGCTGTGCCCTTTGAACAATCTGCAGAATGGCGGGCATAGAAAATCCTGGATAGAGGTTGGACATTTCCTGTCCTGGGTCCAGAAGACACCTGTTTCTGTGGCTGGGAGTGGGCCCAGGACAGTTTCCTCACTGAGGCAAGGAGTCCAGAGGCAGCTCTGGGCAAAAGCTGCCCCAGAGCTTGTGCCCTTACACAGTGGATCCTGGACTTTCCTAGTTTCTCCAGCACCCAACTCATGCCCTACTGCTTGGATTGGCCCCCCACTCCAGGCAGAGCAATCCAGAGGCAGAACAGGTGCCGGCCAAAAGCGACTTCGGTGTGGGCCACTCGCCCACCAAGTCCATGGCATACGAAGGCTCCTGCTCCAGGCTACCCTACCCTCGAGGCTTGGTTCCGCGCTGCAGATGCGGCGACCCTGCTCCTACCCCTCTCCCAGCTTCACCTGCTTCCATCCGAAGCACAGCATCCAGGTCCCAGAACGATTCCCTCGCACCCAGGGGAGGGTGGAGTGGAGAAACGAGAGGCCGCACCTCGAGGCGCCCTCGCTCCCGCCCCCGCCCCCTCATGAGCATCTCAGGGTGCCAGGCGCCCTGATGCCTTGCGGCTCAAGTCCGCACCGTCGTGTCCCGCCTGCCCCGCGTCCCTGACCGCCTTCCGCCTCGACGGCACTGAGCTGGGGGCGGTCCGCGGAGCCCCCGAGCCTAAGCTCAGGGCCATCGGCTCCCCAGCGCTCCATCTGTCCACTTGCCTCCCGTCCCTCCCGGGCGCATCCTCACCAAAGCGGCTGTGGTCGTGGCGGGTGCCGTGCACCGTGCCGTTGGGGAAAATCTCCAGGTGGAAGCCGGTGCGGCAGTACAGCTGGCGGCGCCGCAGAATTCCCTTCAGGTGGGCGAAGTCTGTGGGCGAGCCGCGCTGCAGCTTCCCCTCTATCTGGCCCAGGCGCTCGTTCAGGAAACCAGGGGAGTCAGCTAAGGGCACGTTCCCCAAAGACGATGAAAAACCATGCAGATCCCAGTCCAAGGAGGAAAAGACCCCCCCCACCTCCGCCATGGCGGGGTGCGCGGGGCCAAGCCCGGGAGGAGGTGAGCGAACTGCCTCTCCCCGCAGCGGGCGTGGGCGATTCGCCGGCGCTCGCTTGCTAGCTCAGTGCTCTGCAGAGCAGCAGTCGAC